ATTCCAGCAGTGCTCAGGGATTACTATTAACTCTGTGCTCAAGAATTGCTATTAGTGATGCTGGAGGACCATTTCGGATATTCACGGTCACGGTCCTCCCATTGTTCATCGATTTGCTGGAGCGGGCCCAGTAACGTCTTCATCGTGAGACTTCTTGTTACTGTGTTTGGCATATCGAATACGTCATGGAGAGCTTGCCAGGCTTTGGTGTGCAGGCAAGATACTCTCAGTAGCTTGCCAGGCTCCAAGAGGGGCGGAGGAATCAAACTTGGGTTGGCCATGTTGTCTGTGTGCAAGGCAAACGCCCTACGCACTGTGGTATCAAAATGAGATGAGTTGCCAGCAAGGCAAGCATCCTACTCATTGTACTCTATCTCAAGCCCGTCTTTGAAATTTTTAAGGAAGTCACATTTTACCCAATTTTGAAAGTGATCACAAATCTTTTGTAGCTAAAGTTGACATTCAATTATCTTAGCATAAGAGGAGAAATTTTTTTCACATTATTCTTACTTAGAAATGTAGACTTACCGTATCTACATTACATTAGACAGTTACTTGTTGTTACCAGCACTTTAGGACCTTATAGAGAGATGGACTATTAAAAAACAAAACAAAAAAGCACCAAGTGTAGCATTTGACACATTGGAGCTCAATTAATGTGAAGTTTCTTTATAATTTCCTTTCTAATTTGTCAAGCTGCTATTTATGAAGAGTATCTCATTTTATGAGAAACAACCATCGCATGTTTTACACTCCTTTTAAAAATATTTTGATAATGCAAAGTCAGTTAATCCAGACTGTATTTATCCCTGTGTTTTCATGTAAGGATTTACTATCTATAAATGCAACATAAATTCTCAATTTTATGATTCAACTCATCAGTAAACTACCTTTTGTGGAAATTGAAGCTAAAAGATATTTGACAAATATTCCCTCCTCCTTAATAGTGAAAACTAGTCTGAAAATCATTTTTTTCAAGGAGCTTTTTCCAAAGGTTTAGAGTTCCTCCAAGTCTTAAGATGTTGGAAATGTTATTAAGCATTTTGATTTCTTTTCCTTTCATCGCCTGTTTAGAAATTAATGTCTTGAAAAATTGGCTGCAAATGTTAAGGTTTTTTTAAAGATATGGAATCTATTCATCTGTCTAATAAAACTGCAACATGTAAAAAATAATCGGTTCTTTGCTAGACATTTTGGCTAATCTTGGAACGATTATTTTTTTTCTTTGCCTTTTGGATCTGTAAATGTATTTTAGTTTCATTATTAATACTAGAAAAACCAAGCACTCTAATCATTTTTTAAAATGAGAATTTTGAGATATGGTTAAACTCATGTGTTTATTACGTAGCAAGATGTAGTTCCATTATTGTTTCATAAAAGGAGGTGATAGATAAATAGGAACTCTAAGGAACTGTGGACCAGCCCTTTGGCTTTCTCTTTCTCCTGTTTAGGTTGTGCCTTCTTTTTATTGTAGAATATATCAGTATTTGATATAAAAGTCCTCTGGTTTATCTTTTTTTGTGGTATCATTGTTGCATACAACTTTGTATAAAGAAGCAATTCAAAGACTGTCCCAATATGTCTGCATATGGATGTGCATATGGTTGATTTTAGCTTTATCTTTGAATTTCCTTGGATACATAGGCTGTGTATATTCCCATAATGGTAGTTAAGCAATTTCTTTGTGACGGTTCAATTTCTTTCTCTCTCTTCTACATTTCCCCCTCCTTTTCCTCTATACAGTAGTAACTTGCCTAAAAAGGCTCATTAAAAAAATCCATAACTTCCATGCAAGCAGGCGCCAGGAAGTTTAGATAACAGTCCCATCACATTTGGCTGCATGGCTAGAGTCAGCTGCGTAAATAGAACGGAATGCGGTGTTATGATTCCCTTGCTCAAGTGCACGGCACAGCGATGGAATGAGCCTCACCATCCATTTTATTTATTGACTTCAAGAATGTTCTGGGTGTTCAGCCACACTTCAGTTGAAATGTACCATCTACATGCAAGTGAATGAGATGGCCTTTTTGTGTTTTGCTTGTAGTACCTGTTATTTCAGCTCAAAACCTGTTGGCAGAGGACTTGTACTTTGTCCACTATTTCAGTGGAGCCCCACTTCTGATTTTCAGAGGTGGTATTTAAGAATTAGAGTCTAACAAACATGCAGCCGTCCTACTGTTCTTATACTTAAACCTCTAAAAACTTTTTGTCCAAATTGTGGGCAGCTATTAATTCACTCAGGTGGGCCACTTGGGCAAGAATTTACATTTTTAACATCACAGCTGGCCTTAATTCTCCATCTTATTAGGCAGTCTTCCTAAAGTAAGAGCCACAGTTAGGTATTTTTGATGTAAAGAAGGGTAAAAGGTAAGAGTTAAAAATTAATCAGTTGGATTAATAATTAGATTAGCAACAAATGGTTGCTTGTTACATTTGAAATACCCTTAAAATATAATAGTGGAAGAGATGTCATCTCTACTTGTGAGCCTCTATTATCGTGATGGTATTAAAGAATAAATACTCTATTATTTCTTTATAATAGTTGAATGTAGAACTACAGAAGAGAAGCAAAGCATTTTTGTAAGAGAAACTAATAGGAAGCCTAATCTTATCTCGCGTCTCAGATAGGAAATGCTCATTAACTTCAGTGTCATTGTAGACAGTACATTTATCTTGGGGGAAATTGGAGCAACTTTATGGGAGAGAGTTTGGTGGTTGTGACAGAAAACAACTTATGCCTCCCTGGTGAAGGAAGGAGCATTATGTATATACCTGAGACTGATAAAAGATCAATGTGACTGCAAAATACAATGCAGAATGAGTTGTGGGAGGAAAATTCCCTTGATGAAGACAAACCAAATTCTGACCAGGCAGATCTTGATGGTTCCTGTAACTCAGAATTTTCCTTCCAAGTTATGAGAAGTTATTTAAAAGTCTTAGATGGTAACTGCCAAGATTGGACGTGTAACCCCTGTACAAAGACTATTCTGACTGAAGTAAAAAATAGCCTAGAGGTGTGTAAACATAAACATAGGATCTAAGTGAAGGAACTGTCATACTTGTCCTGAAAAAGATGTTGACATCTTGATTTAGGGAGTTAGAATAAAGGGGACAGAATAGGAGAATTTTAGAGGTACAAATCTCAGAATATTATGAGTTGTTGAATATGTGGAGACAACTAAGCAGGGAGATACAATAATGGTACTAAAGTGTTGTTGTTGTTGTTGTTGTTCTTGTTACTTCTTGTGGAGCTAGTTAGTTCACGCGACCTTCACTCATAAGAACACTGAACAAAAACCTGCTGGGAGACCAGAGAACTGAGAGTTGGGTTAGGCGATGTTGGTTCAATTCAAAGCGCCTAGGTGCAGCTAATCTGAGAAGTCAACGAGATTGTTGTTAACAATGACAACCTTAAAAACTCTGAAACTCAGAGGTGTATTTTATGAAAGTAGAATTGTGAATTCTGCATTTAATAAAAGACAACACAGCATGGATGATCAGATTACTCAGTAGGTCATGCATTGCAGTCTGTGCATGTTGTATTTTGTACGCATGTATTGAGTGCCCACTCATTACCATGTTCTTGACAAATATAAGGAGTTATGAAGAGGATAGGTACCTGGTAAATAATGTAAGACAACTCTTTGCTTTAAATCTAAGTGAATTTTTAATTCATCCAAAAAAAAAATCTCAATTATCTCCATAGAAAACTTAAGCAAGCTAACCTTGGTTTTCTGTTCTTCATTGCATCAAACTTAAATGTCTATAAATTAAATTAATACTTGTTTGTGTTTGGTTGACAGGTTAGATAGTTAATAAGTACAGCTGTGTATTCAAGAAGCCTTTCCAAAATTTTTAGATGTACAATCACTTTTGACTTTATCTCCTTAGAACAAGAACTTAAAAATCATATCACATAAGAATTTATTCCCCTTCTTTTTTGTCCCCCTAAGGAATCCATTCTCAGGCTTTAAAATATTCTTCCCATGTTTTGTAGGCTGTAAATTGCTGATGACTTTCAGATTATGATGATATCGATTCTACTTGTAAAAATTAGGCCACACCCTTCTAGTCTGTTCCTAAAATAAGATTCATTGGCAGAGTGAAATTTATAGCATCTTTTATAGTTTCTTATTCTTTGGAGACTCAGGGTTTAAAATGGCCTATATTTTAAGACTGTATTTTTCAAATTATTTTCTTTAGACCATCTGCATCACTGGCATGCACTTATTAAAATAAACACAAAATAGACCTCATTGAACTTTACCTTTCAATATTTTTAGAAGACAGCTAAGGTAAACTCCAATAATTTTCAATTTTAAGGACCTTAGATAATATTTATTTACACTAAATTTAAAAAATTCTATATTAAAGCATGTTAACACTTATAATCTCATTTTCAGATTTTCAACAGTAAGAAATTAGACAGTTTTTACAAACTAGGTTATTTTCTTCTCAGTTTTGAAAATTGATACTAATATCCTAAATTTTAAAACATTTCATTAGTATGATTAGGTTATTCAGTGACAGAGAGATTATATTAAAAATATCATATTTTTCTCATCAATTACTGTCCATGAGAGAGAATGAAAGAGATGGGTTTTGAAGAAAGGCTGGGCATGGAGTTCAGGATTAGAATTTAGACTTTACAAGCAGGAGATCCTAAGTTCCTAGGAGACCCTGACCTCATCTCTAACTCCCATCTTCATCAAAAGTGAAAGGAAGGAAAGAAAAATAAAGTGAAAGAACGAGTTGCAGAAGAATATGCAAGTGAGCAAGAAGGATAGCACGTGTCACAGAAGGATATCATGGAAATAGAAAGTAAAGCTTTGGTTCAAGTGTAATGCTTCATTCATAATTAGTGTGTTTTCTTCTCATCAGTAAACTCTGTGGCTTCTTATTAGGCATGATCGTGCCTTTACACATGTTTTTAGAGAGTTGACTTCGTTCCTGTTTTCAGAACTAACCTAAATCTCTCCTTCCTTCCCTTCCACCCCTAGGAAGAACGCCGTGTGATTTATGTTGGTAAAATCAGGTCTGACACTACACGGACAGAACTGAGGGACCGTTTTGAAGTTTTTGGTGAAATTGAGGAGTGCACAGTAAATCTACGGGATGATGGGTGAGAATCTTCAAGATTATTTCTTGTTTAGAAGTTGACATATGTAGAAAATTATGGTCCTAAGATTACTAGAATGGGAACGCCTTGACAGATGACACGTTGAGTTCAGAACCTTATTTATTTTCTTTCATCCCTATTTATTAATCTTTCTAGTTGAGATTTCCTGTCTCAGAAATAAGTATTTAGCTGCTTGACAGGACAATCACACTGATAAATGAATGCGGTGGCTCAGATGTTGGCACCGGGGAAGTTGTCCCAAGTAGAAAGGGTTACAGTCGTATATGTTAATATCTCCTCACTAGCTTGGAACTTCTCTCTTTGTCTGTTGCAGAGACAGCTATGGTTTCATTACCTACCGTTATACCTGTGATGCTTTTGCTGCTCTTGAAAACGGATATACTTTGCGCAGGTCAAATGAAACTGACTTCGAGCTGTACTTTTGTGGACGCAAGCAATTTTTCAAGTCTAACTATGCAGACCTAGGTATGGATTTTATTTTACTATGGAATGAAGAATCCATAATATAGAGCTCAGAATGGAAGCAAATGTAAACTGTAGGCACATTGGGCTGGACCCTCACTTAATTTTGCTGGAGGGAATATTTGAATATGGATTTTTATCTTACCTTTTTAACTTTTATGCACAAAAAGTTTCAGAGGAAAGGAGCTAGGGTTCTGGCAACAAAGGGCAGAGGAAAATTCTTTGTACTTTATGCTCAGATGCTAGATGCTAAACTCTGCACTCAGTGTGTGTGTGTGTGTGTGTGTGTGTGTTTGTGTGCGCGCATTCATGTTTGTGCCTGCATGTGCATATGTGTATCTGGTATGTCCTGTCTCATGTGTGTGTGCTGTATGTATGTGTGGTTTAGTATCTGCATACAAGTCAATATTGTATATTGGGTACACATGTGTGTATACAGTTGTCATGTCCTATTGTAGTTTCTGCCCTGAATCTTTCTGTATGAGTGATGGCACTGTCATCATTGTTTTATGAAATACAATATACAAAAAGTCTTGTTTCTTTCTCCCTTGCTATCACATATGCTCTTAGAAATATTAACATCTTTCTACAGATTAGACTTTGAGAGGAGAAAATAAAATTTCCCATGCTAAATAATAATGTACTCTCTTTTAACAAAAAAGGAAAAAAATGTTTATCAGGTTCTTTCCACTTCCAGGGACTGGGCTAGGAATTTGCAACACTTTATTATTTAATGACTGTAAAAATCCTAGATGGTGTACAATGTTATAATCTTCCTATTTACACATAAGAAAACCAAAATATTCCTAAGTATCATTACTATTTCCTATCAGGCAAGAGAAAAACATTTGGGAAATATTAAAAATTAACTAAGGTAAATAGTAAAATCAGCCATCAGTTTATCATGTAACAATTACCACTATTATCTAGTATGTGATTTGCAGTTGTGTATTTTGTCTTAGGATGTCTCATTAAAGTCATATATAATACATAGTGCATATATGTGTAAATTTATGTATAAATTTTAAAATTATGTACTTTTTAACAAGCATATTTTAACTGTGAATTTGGCATTAGAAGTAATTAAAAGTAACTAATTCATAAATATCTTTAAATAGAATGCAGATACTACTTGTAGATAAAACTATTAGTCATTTCAGTCATTTCATGATAGTCAAACACTTGTTCAATATTCATTATTTTGTATTATAAATAATTACATAATGGACATCTTAATTGCCTTTCCAATTTAATTCTGTTCCTTTACATCTCATTCCCTATGATTGTATTTTATGTCTTTAAATTTTTTGTTGAAGAAATGAAAGGGAAAAATCTATTTCTTATATTCATGACATTTATATTAATTTACAATCCAACAACTAACAAATAAGTCTATTCCTGTGCCTACATATATATCTGAACTTACTTTGGCTTTGATAAAGAAATAAATAAGTACCAAATTTAGGGATTTTTTTCCTGCCTCTTCTGAAGTGATGTCTTCCTAGAAAATTGATATAGGTGGTGTGCATTGTTCAGACGGAATATGCTATAATTCACTTCACAAGCTAAGCAGATAGTATGGAGCAGGGGAGAGGCAGCTGACTGTTAGAGAGATATAAGCCTAGGGATGAAAATATAAAAGGTGGCAAGTCATTTGTTCAAATGTTGGCTGATAAAAACAGTCAAGACAGATTGAAGTCTGGAGTTGATTTGACTTATTTTCTTCAGTGATGAAGGCCAGGGTGTTTCTAGTCTCTCAAAACATCTAGAGTTTAAAATAAGCTACCTAGAGGGGCCTTTAGATCACAATTCATCACTAGTAGAGGGAGTAGTGGATGGTATTTCCAAATTGAACTGGAGCCTCCCTGAAATATTTCTAAGAAGAATGCTTTCCCTCTCGTTATCTCTCTGCCTAGCCAGCAGCACTGGAAACTTTTCTATCACTAAACTAGCTATGTATTTTCTGAAAAGTGTGTTTGATGTGCATTGTAGTAGCATGGGTTTTTCCAATTCCCTACAGCCCTATGATCGCATACCAGGCAGTAGACCCAAGTATAGGCCTGGTATAGTCCTAAGGCCCCTGACTTGAAACTTGCAGATCTGATTTTGAAATCTCACTTAGTTTCTGACCATGAGTGAACTAGCCAATTCCCTCCACTTTGGGTTTATCATTTGTAAAACACCAACTAGCGTTATGAAACTTAAATAAAGATATGTGTGAAGAAAGCTTTAGCATAATATCTGGCATAAAATAAGCGGTCAATAAATGATTACCTATGATGACAAAATGATGGCAAAGGGAAGAATTTAGGAATCTCAAGTTTCTTTGAAGTAGGAGAATCACTAAGTTTCATCTGTGTTTTATCTGTGTTCAGATTAAATCTGAGTTCAGATTAAATCCTCTAGACATTTACCTGAATAAAGTGAATATAAGTATAGAGAGACTCTAAGGAGTTGGGGATTACATGTGCCTCAAAAAGAAAAACATAAATGAAAAGGCAATATCATTTAACAAAGAATAAATTGACCTTTCACCTAGAATACACTTAACCAAAGTTTTTTGCAATTAAAAAAAATTTCTCCTCTATTAGCTCACCCATCTTACTATTGAGGTCACTTAATAGCTACTTGAGTACAAAATATAATAATTCCAGAGACTACTTATGAGTTACTTTTATAAAGAACAGAATAGTGTCAGAGATACTGTTAAGGGATTAGGGCACTTGCCTTACAGGTGGTCCACCCTGGGGCATCCCTGGTACTACATCTGTGGAGCTCTGAAGGGGTGAGTAAGCCTGAAGAACCATGGCATTGACTCAGCGACCTCACAGAAAAAGAATAGATTAATTTTTTACTTAGAACTAGTAATCATAGTGAAATTAAGTGTATAAGCAAAGTTAAATGAGGGCTGGGGTGGTAGGGGAGAGAGGTTAAGGCCCTTGACTTACATACATATGGCTAACCTTGGTTCAATCTTAGGCATTGAATATGGTCCTCTAAGCCCTATCAGAAGTGAGTGATCCCTGAGCTCTGCCAGGTTTGCTCTACCCTCCCTCCCTAAAAAAGAGAGATAAGTAACATATTTATTACTCAAATATTCATTATCTCTAAGAAATATATTGCATTATAATCTTGTGTTCCTCTTGGAGAACCCGGTAAGCTACTGAGAGTATCCTGCCCACACGGGAGAGCCTGGCAAGCTCTCTATGGTGTATTCGATATGCCAAAAACAGTAACAAATTTCACAATGGAGACGTTACTGGTGCCCGCTCGAGCAAATTGATGAACAACAGGAGGACAGTGCTATAGTACTAATCTTATTTGTGGAAATTATGTAGAATATGCATATTATATATAAACATGTAAGTATATAAATTTATGGTATATTTGAAACATATATACATGTATACACTTTCCATATCTATGTGTATTTATGATCTATGCCATTCATTGCCAAATAATTCCTAGATCTCAATATAAATTTTTAGCCATTACTTTTGTAATAGTTTCAAGATTAATGTTTTCAAGATTACTACATTTATTCTGCAAATATAAATTTAGTACCTACTTTTATCCAACTGTTTTCTAAATGCTAAGACTATAGTTGTGTTAGTGCCCCAAAGTAGATAGAGATTAAGGGGAATCATGTCTGCCATGGAGGGAGGGGGAGGGGTAAAGGGGGGATATACCGGGGATATTGGGGGTGGGGAATGTGCAGTGGTGGAGGGATGGGTGTTTGGTCATTGTGTGATTGTAACCCAAACATGAAAGCTTGTAACTATTTCACAGTGATTCAATAAAATTTAAAAAAAAGATAAAAAGAATATAGTTGTGCTATAATTTGTTTCTATTAATTAATATAATTTATTGCAATTTACTTTTTAAAAATAATTAAAATGACTTTTAAATTATTCCTAAAATTTTTTTTCCATAGAAATTCACTGTCACTGTCCTCCCATTGTTCATCAATTTGCTTCAGCAGGCCCAGTAACATCTCCATTGTGACACTTGTTGTTACTGTGTTTGGCATATTGAATACATCACCAGTAGCTTGACAGCTTGTGCGGGCGAGATACTCTCAGTAGCTTGCTTGCCAGGCTCTCCAAGAGAGGTGGAGGAATTATTTCTATAAAATATCTCTTACATCACAGCACTCTGCCTTTATGAAGAGAAAATGGTGGTGTAGACAGCATTGCCTCAGAAACTACATGAAAGAAACTACATTCTGTCTTCATGCAATAAATTTGTGTGTGTGTACCTATGGTTTAACATCATATGTCCTTCTAGGTCACGTTATATGTAGACAAGAGTTCACAGAGAAAAATCTCTTGAGAATCACTATTTTGTAATGGTTTTGTACTTTATTTTCTTTTTTGATTTTGGGTCATACCCTGTTGTTGGGGATTCTCCTGGCTCTGTGCTCAAAGATCACTCCTGCAGAAGACCATATGGGGGTCCTAGAACCAAACCTAATGGCTTGCATACAATGCAAGAATCCCATCTGTTGTGCTATCTCTTCAGCCCCAGTGTTTTCTAATAACAGCAAGGAAACACTGAAGCACTAGATTTCATGTAGAATAATCCAGAGCTAAGACATTTCATGTATTCCCAAGATGGATGCTTATTCCTGACTGTTCCCTGCTAAAGCTGATAGCATATGCAGTCAGTCATGGATGACTCTTCCATGATTAAACATAGTTCACGTAAAGAACATATTTCAGGCCCATTTGTAGAAATGAACAATATGGTTTTGCCAGTAAAAAATGTTTTTATTTAAAAAAAAACTTCAGAGGGTTTAGCGATAAAAGAGAAAGGTAGAAACTAGCATGATGTAAGAACTGACCATTTAAATTATTGTTATTTTGGGGCCAATACCTGTAGTACTACAGGTCGATTGCTTGTTTTATATGCAGATGACTTGGGTTTCTACCCTAGCACCCCAAGTGACCCCCTGAATCTGCCAGGAGCAACCCCTGCATAAAGAACCAGAAGTAAGTCCTAAGTAAAGCTGTGTGTGGCCCCCCAAAATAAATAAATTATTTTCATTTTTGTCTTTACTTTTGTCTGTGCAGTGCTACTGTTGTCTTTACCTAGAAAATTCTGTTTAAGGAAAGGCAGTAAAGACAACAGGTGGTAAGAATTAAAGGAAAAAAAATAAGTGAAGGGATTTCCTTGTTTTTAACCCAAGAAGATTAGATTTAAGTATATTAAAACTAAGGAGATGGGGATGAGCTTGATGCTGGAGAGTTAGTGAGACTGCTATTTTCAACAAAATAACCATAGCCTCATATTATTTAGCAATAAACTCTTCTGTCACTATTTTGTAACTTACTCTGATAATACATGGAAATGTTCATATTTTAATAAAGATGTTAAGAGTTCTGAGAAAAGTTCTGTTTTCACTTAAAAGCTTTCAAAAGGATAAATGTATTTGCAAGATATTTTCAGCTCTATTTCTAAGAAATTCTTACTTATAAGACCTACAGAAGTATCTTCTTTTTTTTTTTCAAAGATATTGATGGAGAAAAATTCATAAATATGTAAGAGAATTCTTTCATGTCCAATATTGTTAAAATATTTGAATTGTTTTAGAGAATATTTGAGTTTGTGCAAAAAATGATGTAGACTAGTTGAGAATTCTAAAAATCAACTTGCCTTTATTATACATGTGTGTGCGTGCGTGCACATGTGTGTGTGTGTGTATATATATATATATATATATATATATATATATATATATATATATCTCCTTTATGGCTAAAGAGGTTAAATTTTCCCTGTAGCTCTGTAGCACTGTCCTCCCGTTGTTCATCGATTGCTCAAGTGGGCACCAGTAATGTCTCCATTGTGAGACTTGTTACTGTTTTTGGCATATCAAATACATCACAGATAGCTTGCCAGGCTTTGCTGTGAGGGCGAGATACTCTCAGTAGCTTTCTGGACTCTCTGAGAGGGGCAGAGCAATCGAACCCAGGTGGGCCCCATGTAAGGCAAATTTTCCCTTATCTTCTAATTTGGAAATTTTGTGACACTAATACTAGGATGTCAAAGGTGTGGCGTAGGGTACTGAATTAAAAATCCTGCATACCTCAAAGGGGAACATGGCTGATGGAGAAGTTGAAGTCTTAGAATTCTCATACTTACTCAACTGACATTTCTAATCAGTGAAATCAACCAAATTGTCAATTCTTTTATGCTTGAGATCAATTGGATTGAATAGGAAAGTTGTCCTAATGTCTACTTGTCCCTCACCAACTAAGTTATTGTGGAAGCTTGGGTAAATTATTTAGCCTGGTGAGAATCGGGGAGAAGGGCTTATTTTTATGGTATGTTGAATTATGTTCCTACTGAATGTTAGGATCTGTTCGTAGTACTTCCTAAGAGTATGTATATATCAAAAGAGTCAATGGAGGAGTCTACATGTTAATTTTTCAATGCTCCTTGTCCTCTTAAAATATCTGTACACTCGCGTTTATACTGACCTGTAAAAGCTCAGCAGACTCAAGTAGCTCAGTGGTAGATGTTGAGATTGAATCAGGTCATCTTGAATTGAGTAATTGAGCTAATGGCCATCAATAATGGGTGTATCTCACCTGGCTTGGATCTCTTTCAGATTCAAACACAGATGACTTTGACCCTGCTTCCACCAAGAGCAAGTATGACTCTCTGGATTTTGACAGTTTACTGAAAGAAGCTCAGAGAAGCTTGCGTAGGTAACATGGTCCCTGGCTGAAGATGACAGAGGGACAGTGAATACCTCACAGGACAGCGCGTCCTTCCCTACCAGACTATTGCAAGTCATACTTACGATTTCTCCTACTTTACACTCTCCGTACAAAAACAAAACAAAACAACAACAATACAGCAAGAACAACACAACAACAACAATAACAACAACAGCAAACAACAATGGTTTACATGAACATAGCTGCTGAAGAGGCAAGAGACAGATTGGATATCCAGTAAGCACATGTCTATTCAGGTGTCAGCTTTGCTTTCCCTGGAGTCTCCTGGTGATGGTGTGTGTGTGTGTGTGTGTGTGTGTGTGTGCGTGTGTGTGTGTGTGTGCGCGTGCATGTATGTGTGGGGGGGAAGTATGTGTGTACAGGTAGGGACTGGGGCACCTAATGAGAGTGTGCAAGAGGAAACCACTTCAAATGGCAGCAGTTCAATGAAGACACACTTAAAACCTAAAACTTCAAAATGTTCGTGTTCTATTCAAAAAGAAAAACATAACGCATACATTCAAAAGGAAAGAAAACTAACCAACCTACCACAAACCACCCGAAAATGACAGTCGCTGATGTCTGGGCATCAGCTTCCGTACTCTGTTTTGTAAGAACGTGCAAAATCAACTCGAAGCAAGCTTTCTCTCATAACATAATGATTATATGACAATCCCGAAGCAAACACAGATTCCACAGGACTAATATCCTTTGTCTTTTTTCTTCTCTCTCTCTCTCTTTCTCTCTCTCTCTCTCTCTCTCTCTCTCTCTCTCTCTCTCTCTCTCTCTCTCTCTCTCTCTCTCTCTCCCCTCTTTCCTTCCATTTTTCCTTTTGCCATGGAGTCTGGGTGGGAGAAGATACTGCAGGCACTGGAATGCTAAACTTTCCTAACATTTTGAAGTTTCTGTAGTTCGTCTTTTATCCTGACACTTCTGTCCATGTCCAAAATGTTGATCCTCCACTACAGATTTTTGAAGCGTTGTCAATGGTCAAGCCTGCTGCTTTTTCAGTGGTTCTTTCTGAGGAGCGGGCGCGGTGTTACATTACTAAGGAGAGTTTGTGTGCAACTCTCTGGGGTGTGTTCAGATAGTGTAACTGCTACATTCTCTGATGTAGTTAAGTATTTACAGATGTTAAATGGAGTATTTTTATTTTGTGTACATACTCTACAACAATGTTCTTTTTTTGTTACAGCTATGCACTGTAAATGCAGCCTTCTTTTCAAAACTGCTAAATTTTTCTTAATCAAGAATATTCAAATGTAATTATGAGGTGAAACAATTATTGTACACTAACATATTTAGAAGCTGAACTTACTGCTTATATATATTTGATTGTAAAAACAAAGACAGCGTGTATGTCCGTTGAGTACAGCCACAACAAAACGATGCTTTATGCACATCATCCCTTCTTAGGTGAGCTTCAAATCTAAGCATCTTGTCCAGAAATATCCTAGTCCCCTAAAGGTATTAACCACTTCTGCGATATTTTTCCACATTTTCTTGTTGCTTGTTTTTCTTTGAAGTTTTATACACTGGATTTGTTAGGGGAATGAAATTTTCTCATCTAAAATTTTTCTAGACAATATCATGATTTTATGTAAAGTCTCAATGGGTAACCATTAAGAAATGTTTTTATTTTCTCTATCAACAGTAGTTTTGAAACTAGAGGTCAAAAATCTTTTTAAAATGCTGTTTTGTTTTAATTTTTTGTGATTTTAATTTGATACAAAATGCTGAGGTAATAATTACAGTATGATTTTTACAATAATTAATGTGTGTCTGAAGACTATCTTTGAAGCCAGTATCTCTTTCCCTTGGCAGAGTATGATGATGGTATTTATCTGTATTTTTTACAGTTATGCATCCTGTATAAATACTGATATTTCATTCCTTTGTTTACTAAAGAGACATATTTATCAGTTGCAGATAGCCTATTTATTATAAATTATGAGATGATGAAAATAAATAAAGCCAGTGGAAATTTTCTACCTAGGATGCATGGCAATTGTCAGGTTGGAGTTGTTTCATTTGGGAAATTCAGCTTTTGCAGAAGCAGTGTTTCTACTTGCACTAAGCATGGCCTCTGACGTGACCATGATGTTGTTCTCGATGACATTGCTCCTGCTAAGTTCAATAAAAGCAAACTTCAGAAAAACCTCCATTTTGAGCATCAGGATTTCATCTGAGTGTGGAGGCCCTGGAATGGAAGACAGTAATATTTGGAGTGTGTATTCAAGTTTCTAAATTGAGATTTGATTACAGTTTGGCCAGCGTGACTTTTCTGGAAGACGTGAGATACCTACTCCTTAGTCGCTCTTTTCCTTTCTCTCACCCAACATGATCTTATGAAATGGATTTCACCCCCCTGGGTCGATGCAGCTCATTTTCATAGCTGCATTCATTTATCACCAGCATATTGTGTTCTGAGTGAATCCACTGTCTGTCCTGTCGGATGCTTGCTTGATTTTTTGGCTTCTTATTTCTAAGTAGATAGAAAGCAATAAAAATACTATGAAATACAAGAGCTTGTTCACAGGTTCTGCGTTACAACAGTAACACATCTTGAATCCGCCTAATTCTTGTTGTTCTGTAGGTTAAATGCAGGTATTTTAACTCTGTGTGAACGCCAAACTAAAGTTTACAGTCTTTCTTTCTGAATTTTGAGTATCTTCTGTTGTAGAATAATAATAAAAAGACTATTAAGAGCAATAAATTATTTTTAAGAAATCAATATTTAGTAAATCATATTATGTGTTCAAGGACCAGATGCGTTCTCTATTTTGCCTTTAAATTTTTGTGATCCAATTTTAAATACATTCTCCTTTTTGCCCTGGATGGTTGACATGAGTAAAATACATGGGTTTCTTTTCTTACTTGTCAAAGATAGAACTGCAGATTTCATGTTGAGGATTAATTTATGCCCCCCTCTGGCCTGACAAATATTCTTACCATGAAGATAGCTTTCCTCCATGGACGTCAAGTTGTTTTAAAATAAGAGCAAAGAGAGAATCACTAAACCATCCCAATAGAGCTTTTGTATCTTATGCAGACACTGTGGGTAGCCCATCAAAATGTAAACTGTGCTTCTTTCATTTTTATTTTTAATTTTTGGAGAGAATATTTCAAATGAACTCATGCACCCCATCATCACTGGAGGTAAATTTCAGCATAGATCGTTAGGGGTTTCAGATGACCGTGGGCCATTGCCTTCATGCTGTGGTAAGTACCACATCTACAATTTTGGTAACTGAACTGGTGCTTTAGAAGTGTGTGTGTGTGCGTGTGTGTATGTGTGTATGTATGTGTGTGTGTGTGAGTTAAAAAGATATAGCAGAATAATTCTTCCAGTGCAACAAAATTGATTTTTGCTAAACGACTCCAAGAACAACAGTTGGGCTGTCAACATTCAAAGCAGCAGAGAGGGAACTTTGCACTATTGGGGTGTTATGGTTGGGTCAGTTGAAAAAGGAAACCTTTTCATGCCTTTAGATGTGAGCTTACAGTAGGTAATGATTATGTGTCCTTTTTTGATGGCTGTATCGAGAACTTCAATCACTGTAGTCTAAGACCTGATCTATAGATGACCTAGAATAGCCATGTAATATAATGTGATGATTCTAAATTTGTACCTATGTGACAGACATTTTCAATAATGTGAACTGCTGATTTGATGGAGCTACTTTAAGATTTGTAGGTGAAAGTGTAATAACTGTTGGTTGAACTATGCTGAAGAGGGAAAGTGAGAGATTAGTTGAGCCCTTCCTGGGCCTTTTTTTTTTCCACCTGCCAATTCTACATGTATTGTTGTGGTTTTATTCATTGTATGAAATTTCCTGTGATTTTTTTTAAATGTGCAGTACACATCAGCCTCACTGAGCTAATAAAGGGAAACGAATGTTTCAAATCTATTTCTGTTTTTCTTATTTATCGAAACCAAACTCCTGCCATATTTCTCAGATGAGCACACATTACTCTCTTAGTATTATCCTATTTCCTTCTATATCTCCTTCCTTTTCTCCCTGCCTTTCCACACTCATGGATGGATTTAAGCCCTAAGGTAATGTGCGTTTTGTGTTATTTTTACCTTGTCTCATTCCAAGCTGCAGCAACAAAAAGGGGATGTGTCGGCGGGGGGGAGGAGGGGTTCTCTAATGAAAAGTAATGCAGTTTCTACCTGATGGGTGAACTGTTTTGGAACTTCATCTGGAAAGTTTGTATTTTCAAGTATAAGCTGTGGCCCTTAGTGAGAAGTACTGAATATTCAGTTTAGAAAGCAATTATTAATACATTTGGGGGACTTGTAACAGCATTCTGTTGCTTTCTATATAAGTCATCTGGTCAAATGTGGGAAAGATTGATAGCTGCTGACATGTCTTGCTGTCAGGATGTCTACTATGCCTGGGAGATGCTGGTGGTCCCTAATGAGAGGGAAGATAGAGAAAGCGCTGCTGTTGTTCTGCTTTCTCCTTACTCCCACTCACCCTGCAGAATCCCCAGTAAAGGTAACATTGAAGAAAGTAGGCTAAATATAGCCAACTCCACCACCCCACCTGCTAGAGAAAAAATAAAGTGTTGGCAATTATTGGAAACATGATAGTGCTATCAATAGTACAATGAAGTTTGCTAATACAAAAAGCACTTCCCTGACTCTATTTCTGCATTTACGCCAATGTAAGATGCAACTTCTATTTTGATTACAATAGAAAGTAAAAATGCTTTAAGTCATCTCAATCAATATTGTCTTTGTATATAAGTGTAGGTACTAAAGACTCCTAAGCATGACATACAGAATCTGACTTGCCTCCACTGATGTTTAAATCGTACATAAAATTAAAGCCGGAACCAGCATGGACATTGGAATAATGCAAGTCTTCCACTTAAAAGAGTTCACTGTTTCCCTTTGAAAGTGTTTTTAATGTGAGGAGCAAATTTTTAGAATCACCAGAGTAGCTCCTACTCTGCTACTGGGCCCTCTTGCTTAGAGACAAAAGATTCATTTCATGTTGTCCTTAAAATATTAACTCATGCTCTCCTTGATAGTACTAATGGAAAAATAATTATAGAAACCAAAATTAAGCTGACAAAAAATAAATGAACAGTGTATATGAATTGTTTATTTAAAAGGAACTTGTCTCAATTTGAAAGTCCTCCAAACCAAATCTGTTGAAATTGTACTATGTGATATCTGTGCAAAATTATTTACTCAGTATTGTCAGTTTTCTCTTCATTATTTGCATTGTTTGGTTTTTGTAGATGATACAGCATTAATAGCATTTTTATACTTGACACTAGTTTTGCTAGCCTCCACAATTGTAATTCAGTATGAGTTATAGAGTATTTTAACTGTTGCATACATATTTACTTTAATCTTATTTTTTAAATTCTCATTGTTATTCCTTGTTTTCCAGTACATCACACACTTGATAAATCAATCTTCATATTTTATCAAACAGAAAAGAGTAGGAGGAAGTTCACAACTCATAAAAGAGTCCCTTAGAGGTTTGTAACATCATGATTTAAATCTTAGAAATATTAATCAAAAGTTGAATTAATCCCTGGGGAAAAAAGATACTATATAGATTCTATTGATGGGCACAATGCAGTCTGTTTCTTTTCACTGGTCTCTGTTAAAATATTGGGGGAAAGGAAGCAGCTTTTATACAAAAAAAAAAAAACCAAGATTTTCTTCTTGGGGGGGAGGAAAAAGAGATGCTTGTTTCATAGTTGGTTTTTCCCTTTCATTCAGATAACCTGTTTGGGGGCTGAAGCAATAACACTGATGGTAGAGCATTTGTCTTGCATAAAGCTGACCTGAGTTCATTCCCCAGCACCCCATATGGTGCCCGGAGCCTGTTAGGAATGATCCCTGAGTACCAAGTCAGGAATAAGCCCTGAGCACTGCCAGGTATAGTCCAAAAACAAATAAAAATTAAAATAAATAAAAATTTAAAAGATTGAATTTTTCCCCCACTTTCTATAGCAGTGCATGTACTTCCAGCACATGGTTAAGTTAGATATCTGCTACTCACCTGTTCGTACCCTTCAGTATACCTGGATGGTTCTATAATTCCACAATGTTCCACTCCTGTGAGGCTGGTTTCCGGTCTTCATTCAAATCAAGTGACTAGGTCAAATTCTCAAATATTCAAAACACCAAAAACTTGCAAGAAGTGCCCTAAAATGCAGCTACAGAACCATGGTCTCTGCAAAGCCCAACAGTGCTCGATGACTAGAATGTATGCTGAAGACACAAGCTCTTTTTCCGTCCATTACTTCTATATTCCTGTTAGTTCCAAAACCATTACTTACCATCCATCAGCTGACTTTTACAAGGGTTAAAGTGGATTGAATTAATTGAAAAAAAAAGTGAGAGAACTTTTAGAGGAGAAAATCAAATGATCCTATAATATTTTCATGATTAAATTAAATGAACATAATTATACATGCACATATGCACACCAAGCATTATTATAATCAAGAACCTTAAAATATGGTATTGTTTCAAATTTATGCATATAGCACTTACTAAAGGCAAGTCGCTAGTGTGATGTTTGAATTTGCATATTGACCATTTTCATATATTTTCATATATTAGTTTCTAGTAGGAAGAAGCTGAATTCTTAGGGAAAAACCTGGGGTGATTTAGAAAAAAATATTGAGCTTCTGCTCATTTCTGAACACTAGGAGCACTTAAAAACATTATCTTTTTTTTTCCACATAGTTTTCTGTGATGGATTTTCAACAAGATGACATCCAAGTGAAAGCCTAAATTAAATGGGAAGGAAAGAATGTTAAGTGGTAAAATCCTAAATAGCTTATTAGACTACTTAATTGGAGGAAATTTATTTTCGCTGCTGTTAGGAACTCTATAGTCAAGCTTCTTTATAACAATACTAATTGATTTTTTAAAATGTTGGATATACTTATATACTCTCTAACAAACAATTTAGAGGGTATTCACAGGTACTTTGTTTTGACTTTGGTGTTGTTGAAAGTCAAGTCCCGTTTTCATTCCTGTCATTGTTTTCTTACTTCATTTCTATCCAGTTCTCTTGCTTATTTTTACCAGAACTTTACAGAGAACAAATACACCTAAAGGAATATGAGGCCAAGCTCTTTCCTAGTTTACCCATTTTATAGGCTTTATCTTCACTATAACTTTTAATCAAATGACTAATGGTTTATAGTCCCTATAGGTACTGCTCTCCATAATCACTTCACTATTTGCTGGCAAGGATAGGTGTACCCTATCATAGACTAATTATTAATAACTCTATTACTTGGGGAAGGTTAAGTTAGTAAAATGGTCACTCAGCACAGGATGTGACCAGGTGACTTTATTGCCAGATATCTTTAATGATTGAGTTTTGTAGGTGGCCTAATTATAGTCCAAATATCTGACTACATGGGACAAAATATTCTTGTACATTTTCAATAGATTGCCTATCCCAGGAGCATCTGAATTGTATTTCAGAGTTCCCAAGAGGAAATTTCTGGAGAAAGTAAAACTCGGAGTTCCACTTTCTAATGCCTGGGGATGTTAATCCCTTGGGGTGGGAAGTGTCGGGAATGATTTTTTCCCTGGATTTAATGGCAGGTATGGTGCTTACCAAGGAAGGGCCAGTGACGAATGAGACAATTCACAGAATGCTCACAGCTGTTTCTTTGTCACATGTTATCAGGGTCTCTCTGGTTTATTTTTGCTCTGGTGTTCCATAGCAGGGAAGAAGATGAGAAAGGTCAGCTGAAGGAAAGAAAAGGGAAGAAATAGAAGGTTAGCCAAACACATTTGAATTTCAAGGTGCAAATCCAGATTTGGGCAACGATTTCCTGTGATTTTTTATTTCCTTTTTTTTTTGGCTACTCAGTTTCCAGGATTATATAAATTAAAGAAGTAAGTGTATATAGCTAGGGCAATTGAGTTGTGAAGAATAAAATGGAATTTACATAGAGGATCTGTCTCTGCGTGTGGTCCTGTCAGCTAGACACCTGTGAGTCGGACTTTACTTATCAGGTGTCTGCTCTGAGCTGTTGATTACATCCCATTCCTTTAATACTTCGCTGTTAGATTCTTGGGGAAAACTGAGGAATTTTCACAGCCAGATGTTTGGACATGATTTTTCAGCTCTAATTTTGTGAAATAAATAAGATGACTCTTATTTAGTAGGCAGGGCTCTTCATATACCAATGATACATTGAGACAGACACCAACTTCTATTTGATATGATTTCATTTTATCACCCCAAAGCAAACATTTGCATCCTGGATTTCAGAAATTTCCAGAATTTCAGCATACTGAAGGCTAAACATGAGCTTCTCTCAAAAGTTGATACCCGTTAGATACCACGGCAGCATTTAAATTCATAGAAATGGGATGGTTAATTTCTTTGGAGATGTGCTCTTAAAACATTAATCTTACCAACTCCATGTCAAAACTTGATCAACTGAGAGATTTTTCTTTTTTTTCTTTTTTTGGGTCACACCTTGCGATGTTGAGGGCTTCCTCCTGGCTCTGCACTCAGGAATCACTCCTGGTGGTGTTCGGGGAACCATATGGGATGCTGGGAATCAAACTCGAGTTGGACGTGTGTAAGGCAAATACTCTACTCACTGTGCTATCGCTCCAGTTCAGAGATTTCCTTTCTTAAGAAAGGTGTAGTCACATATCCAGATTTCTTATTGCTCTCCAATTTTCTTAGGTGATGTCACTTCATCTAACCTTTTCCTCTAAAATTTTAATTTTCAAACAATTTCTGTTGCCTAAGAACGCTAACATGGAAGGCTACCCAAATCCCAGTAGATCTAGAGTTCGATGAAAATAGTACATATACTGATGTATCTGTTGTGTGCGTGCATATGTTTAATAGCTTGTAGTCACTTTTCTTAACTCTGAGGTTTTTTTTTTTTA